GTATGCTTATTGATAGTTTCTGGAAGGGTTCCTTCACTTGGGATGTGTGCTGCCAGATCTTTACAGTGCCTCTCAACCATCGTGTTATCAACACGTCTTGTGCAGAGATCACAGCAGGAGCTAGACATGTGCTCATGCGTGCTATGTTGGAACAGTTGTTACAGGGTGAAAAGAGCACGGATTTTGGGTCAGAGAGATCTGGCCTCACTATATGCTAGCTTTCTAATCATGGACTGGTTCTGTAAACTCCCTGAGTCTCACCTCTCCTCATCACTAACATGAGTAGGCTCCTACCTGCATCACCACATTGCTATGAGGAATCAGTGAGAGTGTACTTTACGTAGAATGCCTGGTACACTCCCTGGTAAGTTAAACAGACAATAAATGGTAGCTAGCATTTTCACTATTTTCTTTTTTGTCAGCTTTAATCACAGAAGCCCCCACTGTCATTTTAGAATGATTTGGCATGATTCTAAGGAACAGGAAGGGTGATTCTGAAATAAGACCTCTTGCAGAACGTTCCTTGCTGTGATATGTACATGGCAGTGAGTTACATAACAGCTCTGCTCCCTAAGGGCCTCCGAGACAGATCTGCAGAGACATCAACAATGAAATGTGCTGCACAGAAGTGACCCACTGTCTGTTCTGCCTCTGCCACCATCAACAGACTTGCCAGCCGGGTTCCAAACGCAGCTTCTCTAGTACAGTTCTGCTGTCAGAGGCAGGGAGAACTGCTGCATCTCCAGCTTCCAGGGAGAATGTGGCACCAGCAGCCCCTCAAAATTATCTTTTGACTTAGAAACTAAGTATACTGGATATAGAAGTCATTAAAAGAGAATAAACATGAAACCCCATGAAGTCATTTTCACTGAGTGTTTTTTTTTAGTGTAACCACCCTGTAAGCAACAAAACATGACACACCATGCAGTTGCATGATTAAGAGACCCTCAGGTATGTGCTTAGGCAAGAGGGGAAATAAGAAGGTGGAGATAGGTGACAATTTGCCAAAAAAAAAAAAATGCAAGTAAGATCATAACAGCAGGATGTGGGCTGAGAAAGAAAGGTTTGATTAAAGGACAGAAAGATTATGGCTCTATTAAATTATAAAATGCAGTTTAAATCAAATGCTTGGTATATTCAAAGTGTACACTTATCTAATTACACTAAAGGTTTGTATGTTGCCAGGTAATTTTTTCACTACAATGTAATAGACATATCGATCAGTGATTTCCTTTATCATTTTAATGTAATTGCCAAGAGGGGAAAAAAAGAGAAGGAGGTTCTCTCTGATGAAGTGTTGCTAATCTGTCCAGCCACATGGTGAGTTAGAAAGAACAATGAAGCGCTCTGCAGCCCTGTGTGCTGCTTTTGCAACCGCTGGGGGGTTGCTATCTAATGGATGCCTCAACGCATAGCACAGCTCTACCACACCTAGCAAAAAGACTATGATAAATACTACCAATGTTTTCCGCTGGTGAGTAGCCATCAGTCAAGTGCTCACCTGGGAGAGGAGACAGCATCTTCTACTGTGGGCTAACATTCAAGAATGAACTTCATTGGCCAAGCAAAACCACTAATAAGCCCTGGCAAGGTGTGTTTTCCTCACCTACGTCAACCCTGTTGTCCCCATGCCATGTTTCATTGGGCTTTTCATCTTTGGGTGAGGAAAATGATTGTGTCTGAGATTAGAATAGAGAGGAGGTGAAAAAATTGTTTTCTTCTACCTCAAAAAGAAGAGAACAAGGCAAGAAAATGAGAACAAACTTGGGGACAGTCATCTACACATTTCCACAAGTGAACTAGTAATATAAGGAAAGACAAATAAGTAAAAGTTTAAACAAACCTAAAGAATGAATACTGAACAAAGTGAGGTAGGGAAAGAGGGGCAGTACAGCAGAGTAGCAGGACAGCCAGGGTCTCTGTCTCTATGCAGTAGTGAGTTATCACTCCAGTGACATTTGCAAGATTGTCAAAATTATTCCTGCTGACAATGTTAGAAAAGTGCTTTCCTGTTTTTTTTTTTTTTAATTTACCTTCATTTCTGAGGCATTATTTAACTACAAATATTTTGGTTTATTGAAGTCAATAAAGGAAGTAAGGTTGTTATTCTTTGAAACACAGTATATGCTTGCAGGCTATGCACCTCAGTCTCTCACTCTGGTCTGGTCACTGTTGCTAGGCCTATTGGTACCAAGTAATCACTGCTAGAGAGATTTGTGACCTTTATATCAGCTATGCTTACTCAACCACTAATAAGGATGTGACCTCGATCAAATCAGATCTCATAATTTCATCTGAAAAATGAGGGGACTGGAGTAGATGTCTTTCCATGACTCTAAACAAGACTTTATTCCTTCTAAAATTGGTTCAGCAGACACTGGCTGGGCACAAACTGTGTACAAGGCATTGCACCCACAGGGTACTATACAGGATGATCCCTTTCCTGCCAGTCATCGAAGATCAAAGCCAAAACTCCTATGACAAAAGGCAGGTGAACAAAAAAAAAAAAGCATAATGAATTTATTCTACCGTAGTTGTATGTGACACAGGGGTCTTTAGATTGAAGACCAGGAGACTCAGGGTGCACCATCCATTTTATGCTTAGATTTGATAAAGCACAGACACTCATACAGCAGTATGATTGGACAACAAGGATGTCACCTAATGCTAATACACTGAGGAAGGGAAGCCCCACAAGGCCTGTCTGTTCAGACTCTTCCTGGGCTCTCTATGCAGCATTCCTTCCTCCTGGGTATGGGGTAGGTAAGACCCCTTCTGAAATGGAGATCTTTAGATCTACTCTCCGACAAGGTAGATCGGAAAGGGAAGCAGGAGACAGGAAGACCAGCAAGGATAAGAGAGAAACTTGGCTTCTGAGGCCTTCACTTTCATGAGCCACAACAGTATGCAGAATGAAAATGTTCTCTCCTATCAAGGAGCTTACAGAGGGAAAGGACAAATCACACAAGCAATTATTAGTTGATAGAACATGCAGAGAGAGTAGTGCAAAAAGTATTTGAGGATTCAAGAGGGGCACTTCCCTTAGGCACTGCTTCATATGTGAGGTGGCATTGGTGGCCTTAAGGAAGCTATATGCAGACATTATAAAAGAGGAGAAATGCCAGGAACATGATGGTAGAGTGACATTTTGTTATGGGATAGGATGGACTGCAGATGTGAGGGTGGTAAGTTAGATTAGGGCCATGTTACAGCAGCCTTGAGGGCCAGACTAAGGAGTAACTCAATTGAGTGAGCAATGGGAAGATGTGTTTAGATGGCGCTTTGGAAAAGTTACTGTAATGCTTGTCTGTTCGAAGGATTGACTAACGGTAAAGAGGAAGGAGAAAGGAAGGCAGTCAGGGCATTCTTGCAGAAGTCCCGGCGGTAGGTGGCAAAAGAATCAATGGGTGTTGGTGCAGAAAGGAGGTTATTCAGGAAATAACCAGAGTAACCAGCACAGGATTCAGCATGGGAAGCAAAAAAAGGGATGGAGGGAAAGAAATTAAAGATGGCTCCTCAATTGCGTGCCCAAAAGATGGCGCCAGTGGTAAGCAATGGGAAGTCTGGAGAAGGAACAGATTTTGGTGGAAAGGCAATAAATTATATTTTTTTAATTTCTGAATTACAAGAGACTGTGTAGTATTGATGGGATTATGAGCTTCTCAAAGCTAGAGATCCTGTCCAGTTCACCTGCTCTAGGTACTTAATAGTTGCTATAAGAACACTTAATGAAGAACAATGAATGAATGTTCCAGGAACCAGCTGTCGTTTAGCATGTGGGTTGGAGCTCTGTGGACACTCAGGAACTTAAGATAGCAACATGGATGCTTTGTATGAGATTGTTGAAGCTACAGAGGGTGGGTATAGACAAAGCCTAACAGGACAAGCTTAAGGAATGTCTACATTTAGGAAACAGGAGAAAGAACACAAGACAGGGAAGCAGGCAGAAAAGTGCACTGAGTGAAGCTCAAATTAAAATTCAGTAGGTTTGAGGTTCTTAGACAGACAACGATCAACTCCATTCCTCAGGTTGAACCCCTCAGGGTTAAAAGATCTGGAAGTAAATGGAAGCTTTGCAGTGAAGAGTAGAAAGAATGCAAGAGCCCGGAAGGCAGCCAGGTCAGTGGGTGTCTTTAGAATGGGTCAGAACCATGCGATAAAGAGGGAAATTCTGAAGTAGAATCGTGAACACCAGAAATGTGGTGCATAATACAAGGTGGAATAATCAGGCTTTAAAAAGGAGGAAAGCTGTCATTTGCCATGCCATGTGTGAACCGGAGGACACCAGGTGGTCTCTCTCACCTGGAATGTAGAAAAGTTGAACTCACAGAAGCAGGGAGCATCATGGTGGCTACCAGAGGCTGGGGAGGTGATGTCAGAGGGTACAGAATCCCCATTAGACCCAAGGAGTAAGATCAGAGACCTGCTGCATGTATATCACAATGACTCATTTACTTATGGACCTGACAAGTGCCAAAGAGAGATTTTAAGTGTTCCTAGAACTTGTGTGCGCACACACACACACATAGCCGAGGTAGTGTGTGTGCTAATTAGCCTTACTTAGCCATTCCACAATGAATATGTCTTTCAAAACATCATGTTGTACACTGATAAGATTTCTATTTGTCAACTGATAATAAAGAAATATAAGCAGGGGAAAGAACAACCAAAAAGTCGGCTGTGGAAAGGTTGAAGGCCACCCTCACCCCTTCCCCAGCCCTGTCTCCCAACTCAGCTTCCAGAGCCACACAAATCAGCCCCATCTGCAGCGACAGGTGCTGTTGGTGTCTTGGACTGTACAAGCAGGCCCAGCAGACACCTGAGAATGGGGCCTGGACAGCATCCTCTAGCCTCCCTCCTTGCCTTTCCTCTTGCAGCTACTCAGATGCAGAACCAGCCCCTCAGCCAAGTCCACAGTTCTCTATCAAAGGAAACAATCGCCATCTCCACCAGCCGTTCATTTAACAACCTTGTCTTTGTTTGCTTCTTGTCTGTTCCAGATGCAACCGCTCTCTGTTCCCTGCCCCAATGAACATCTGCACTAGGCCCCAACCTTGGAGTGATTTACCTGAAGAGTGACACCACTGACTTGGAAACTACTGTGAGTACATTATGCCTCCAGTGAAAGGCTCCTTAGTTCACTTTGTTTAATTAAAAAACACACACGCAATTGTAAAAGCAGGCGAAATTTTAGATGGCTCCGTCTCTTGGATAACCAGACTCAGACCTGAGGTGCCTGCAGCAGTTCTCAACTTGCAGCCCACAGTGCAAGCCCTGTGCGGCCTCCTTCCTTCCTTGTGGGCTGGCTGTGCTGAGCTGTATTTGAGCACCCCTCGCAGGGACTGGTGCTGTGCTGCTTGCTCATCTGTACCTCTGCCTGAAGGGGGTGGCAGCTCCTCATGATCTGTGAGCTTCTCAGATCGGCCGTCTGCACCACACTGTTGAATCCCAAGGTGGCTACGTGGGGCAAACCCATGAGCCAGCTTCCTCTGCCTGGATCCGTTGTCTGAGCCACAGCCCCATGCTGTTGCCTGCTTGCTACTCTGAGGAGCCCAGGCCTGCCTTGTGGGGCTCTGGCTTCTTTTGCCATATCTCCAAGCTTCTGTATCCAGCTCAGCTCTGCTCCCTGGATACATGGCTCTGGGCAGTTGGTTTAGTTCCTCCATGTCAGGAGGAAATATATAGGAGAAGTAAAAACCTTGCAAGGAAAGATACAGAAATAGGTTGTAGTATAAGATATGATACCTACAGGAAAATACTGATGAAAGATTGGTATCAAGTATTCATTAATCATTGCTAAAAATAACAGATGAGTATATGCTTTTTTCCCACTAGAAAAGCCAGAAATTTGAATTATTTAGATGCTTTGCATGCAAAAATCACTTAATGACACATTATAAAATGAAAACTCATTTTAGATGTTGTATTGACAAGTTTTCCTGTATGGTATGAGGCAGGTAATGGGATGGTGTTTTACAGACGACTCTGTTACTGGAAAACGCTAAACCCGGGAGTCTAACACCTCTCTTAGGCTTCAGGTAGGATTTTCACATTCTTATTTTCTATGTCTTTAGCTATTCTGCCATAAATTGAATCCAAAGGGATGAAGCCAGAGTTTTGTTTCATTTTGTGTTGCTTTTTACCTCTAATGCTTTCAGTCTCCTGAGTTATGCTTGATGGTAGCTGGTATGCAGGTGATAGACAGGCCTGGCTGCCCAGGGTGGCAATGAACATCAACCAACAGGATCGAGGCACTGGGGACTAAAGACGCATCAGACTTCAAATAAAGAGTCTCTTGGGGTGGGCCTTTGGCCCACTGGTTAAGATATCACTTGGGAAGCCCTCATCCCTTGGTGGAGTACCTGAGTTCAAGTCCCAGCTCTGCTCTCCTTTCTAGCTTCCTGCTAATGCACACCCTGGGAGGCAGCAGGTAATGTCTCAAGTGTTTGTATCCATGACACCCAAGATTGAATTCCCTGCACTTGGCTTCTGTCTAGCCCATCCCTCTCCCTCCCTTCATCCCTCCCTCCTCCTTTCTCTCTTCTCTCTGATTTTCAAACAAATACACTTTTTTTTTTTAAATAGAATTGCTTCAACCCATACCTATGCAAGGAACTTACTTATAATAGTATCTTCCTTTCATCCTTAAGTTTAAGTGCAGGGAGTCTTAGAAATTCCCACATTTGAGTAGTTTTCTGAGCTTTCCTTCATCACAGAGTAACTATGTTTTCAAAGTTTCTGTGTCCTTTGGGAAGGAAGAGATCTTACTCCTTCTACCTTGCTGGGCTGCCAAGGACCTGGATTCAGAAATCAGGACCTAAGGCATCTGGAAAATTGCCAGGCAGCCCACAACCGAGTGCCTGATTGTGCCACAGGAAGTCTCTTCCATGTGCAGGATGCCAGTGCTTGCTGTCACTTCTCAGTGGGCCCTGAAGAATGAACAGATTGTGTTATAATCCTCATAGTGTCTGCTGTTCAGAAACTTAGCTTTCTCCTATATATACAAGAGGAATAATAAAACTTTCAGGGACTTGCTAGGTGTAACAATCAATAATGAGGATGTAGTATAAATATGTGAATGATTTGCAAAAGTGTACCCTTCCTGTGGGCTGATGTTGCTCTGGGCCTGGTCTCAAGGCTTGGGCTGGAAGTGGGTGTGAGTGTCAGGTTTAAACCCCCCTACACTGCCTCCCAACCATGCTCAGCAGCTCAGCCTATTTGCCCAGATTGTAGAGATAATTAAATGAGATGGTGTGTAGTCAGTGTCTGGCATGACACTTGGTCATTTAAAGTTTACTGAGCACTTACTATGTGCCAGGCACTGTTCTAGGCACCAGGGATATAGTAGCCAGCAAAACAAAAATCTCTGCTCTATGCAACTTTTTTGCTTTATAAAAGGGCAAATTCAATACATGGAAGCTAAGAAAGGATTGATTTGATGATTTGATTTGATTTGATTTGATTTTGCTCTGTCTTTCCTTCCAGAAAGCATAACAGTTAAGGGGAAGATGAAAAGAAAAAGAGAAGGAATAACATATTGGTCAGCCTTGCCACCCCTCCTCACCCTCAAAAACCCCAGCTCCCTGCTCTGATTTGTGACCCAGAGGACTGACCACTGGGCACTACTTGACCCAGGCCCTCCTGGGCCCTGGATTCCTTCTGAAGTTGGCCAAAAACAGACATGAGAGTGGGAGGAGAGAAGTCAGGGTATTTAGTGCAGCCCTTCCCATCCCAAGTCTGGATTTAGAAAACCCCACCCCTTCCCTTAACCCTTCAGTGTCATTTGTTTAGGGCTGACATCAACATCTTCTTGCTGGTGCCAGTGCCCGCTGCTTCTCTGTTCCCTGAGGGTCCCTTAACTTCCTCTGTACCTCAGAATGCTAACCTATCCTTAAACTCGCTCTGGTTAAAACCTACTGTGTGAGCCATCTATTTCTTGCCAGGATCTTTGCCTGATTCGGCAAGGAAAAATACACTGGAAAACATAACGCAGCCCAGCCAAGAAGGCTAAAAAAAAAAGAAGAAGAAGAAGAAAGAAAGTAAAAGATTGGAAAGAATAAAATGCTTTAATCATGAAAATATTTTAAACTGATGTGAGAACTCTGGGCCAAGCAGTGAAAAGATAAATTGTAAGAAAATGGGATAAGCCCGAGTGCCACAGGTTGATTTCAATGAATACAACAGAATGCTGTGGCTCAATGGGCTTCTGTAGGCCAAGTGCACCTTGCTTGACCCTCTGCTTCAAGGAGCTCTAAGGTATAGCCACAGCAGTGACAAATATGTGAACAGAAAGAGGGTGTCGGAAGGATAATACAGTGAGATCAGAAACGTTGAAGACCAGATTTCTTAGCCTAACATCTTTCTTCTTGTGCTGTAGCAACCATCCATGTGCCCCTGCCCTAAATCTAGGTATTAGGAAAGGCTACGGAAATAAAGCAAATGTCTCACTGTGGCTAACACGATGAAAACGGCAGAACAAATGTTAAATTGAAAGGAGGTACCACTTCCTCTATGGCAGCTCCACACTAGGTACTTTAGGCTCGCCTCATTGATCCCTCGCATCAGCCCTGGGAGGTGGATATTATAATCCCTATTTTAAAGAAGAGGAAGGTGAGGCTCAGAGATGCTGAGCAATCTGCCTAGGTCACACAGCTACCAGCTAGTTGGAGATCCGTTCCGGTACCACTCCCCTCCGTCCTCTGCTCAGACCTTCTCCTGAGCCTTTTGCATGTGTTGTTGGGGGAGATGGGGGAAGAAACAGCCCTCCAAAAAGATGGGAAGAGGCATCGCTGCTCTCAGTGATCATGATCCAATGACAGCATAATTATTTATCAAAAGGGGCTTCTGACTAATTATTTCCTATCTAACTGGGATTCTAAGTGGAAGCCGTGTTAATGAGCAGGGTGGGAACCCAGTGAGGAGATAAAATTGGGAGAGAGCAACAGAAGACAGCCCTCTCCTCCCAGCAGACCTCTGAGACTGCTAAGAACTCACACAGCTTAAATATTTATTTTTCCATATGTCATAGGAAGCATTGCCCTCACTATGCATGTGCAGTATGTACCAAGGAGTGCAGACTCTATACATCAGACGCACCCAATCTGGTTAATTTCATGTCTAATACCTACCATCTCATCGGTATGTCTGAATGCATAGTTCTTTCCACCTACAGTGCGCTCTGCTCTCGATAGCAAAGAGCCAGTATCCTCCAGAGCCGTACTCAACTGCAAGATTTCAGCCCAACACTTGTTGCCAGGGCCAGCGCCATGAGAGTTAAAAAATCAGAAGGTTCTGCTGGCTAACTCAGCCGCCAGTCACCTCAGAAAGCCTTCCTGGTTCCTGAAGCAGCCTTTTTTTCTCATAACAGAAATGTTTGCAGTGAGGAGATGAAAATGTTTTTGTTCTCTTTGGACAATTGGGAGATGTTCAGTCAGAATGTCAGCACTGACCGTTGAAAGGCGGCTGCCTGAGGCCACACTTTTTTTTTTTTTTTTTTTTTTTTTGAATGCGGAGCTGCACCCGTGTGGCGGGAGGAAGTGCACAATGATTGGTCTGTTCCTCTCTGGAAGTGTTCAGGGTACACCCAGTTTGCTTTGCATATATTTACGAAACATCTGCCCTTTTCTTGTTCTTAAGTCCGTCCCCCTCACCAGCCCCCTTTCCCCTTTTCCCTGGTTTCTCTCTTTGTTGTTGTTGGCTGGTCTAACTTTTTCATTGGGGCTTTCATTTTCCGGTTGAGGGGCGACTTCATCAGAGTGTATAATTTTAACAGCAAAAAAAGAGAAAAGAGAGAGAAAGAGAGAGAGAGAGAAGGGGGAGGAGAGGAGAGCGAGCGAGCACTGTGAAAAGAAAGAGACTGAGAGGCCAGAGCTTGGCAAACCAACCTTTGGCATGGTGACCAGGAGGAAGGTTCTGGTCTGGTCGGGAGCTGGCCTCTCTGGAAGGCGGCCTGGAGTCAGCCAGTGTTCTGCTGCCCTCTAAAGGTTCCAGGGAATAATGCAGAGCCACAGAGGCTCGGCGAGCTCGGCCCTCCCGTTGGCCATGTTTATAGAATTCTTTCTATACAACCAAAGAAGGAATTTGCACTTCATCACAACAAAGCTTACTCGTTCCTCCTCAATAAACTATGCCCTGCAACAACGGGGTCAAGTAGCAGCACCTGTGCGCGTCCCACTTAGACTGCGGCCATGTCTGAGTGTTTCTCAGCTCCAGAAAGAGGAATCCACAAGAACTGTTAGGGAAGGTGAGGCGGGAACTGAATTGCTTCTAAAGACAGTGTGTGGCTCCCTGTTACCTGTGCAATTAGGAAGCTGCCCGGTGGATGAAAAAGTAAAGGGTTAACAGGCAGATGAGGGGGTGATGATCTCCTGTTAGAGGCAGCACCAATACCTCTGTGCTATGAATGGTCTCCAAAAGTGATCCCTGAGACAACAAACAGGGAAGAGTGGTGCAAGATGTCAGGAGCAAAGCAGGAACACGTCCAGGGAAGAAGCAGTGACTGACGGTGACATGGAGAGCAATATCATTTTCTCAGTATTAAAAGACTGGTGGTTTGGCCACGTGCTCATATTTGAAAAATAGCTTGACGACTTTGATAAAGCACTCATCTAACACTAGCCTAAAGGTGAGTCTTGTGGAACGGGAGGTGAAGCTGCTATTTGGGACATTTGAGGAGCCTACATACCATACCAGAGCGCCTGGTTCAAGTCCCAACGGCTCCATACTTGCAATCCAGCTTACTGGATTGTACCTAGTAGGCAATAGATGATGACCCAAGTACTGGGGTTCCTGTCAACCATGTAGGAGACCTGGATGAGTTCTGGCTTCTGACTGTGACATGGCATTTGGGGAGTAAATTGGCAAATGGAAGATCACACTTACTATTATTGTCTCTGTCTCTGTCTCTCTGTCTCTCTCTCGCGCTCTCTCTCAGTCTGCCTTTCAAATAAATAAAAATCTTTTTAGCAATAAAACTAGCCTAGTACCAAACTATAAGCATCAGCAATACATTTTTTTTTCCTGCAGGGTGATATCTGTCATTAGTGTTTTGTCTCTATCTTTAAATGAATCATGAGGATTAGTCTAGCCCTTCTGAGCAAGACTCTTATTCTTTTTCAATGCCTTTCTTGGAGTGAAAGGAAAGCAACAAATTGAAGTAGATTTCACTGTCACATAGAGTGGGAAACTGATTTGGGATTCTGACTATGCCGATTCTCAAAATACAATTTCATCTCCATTGCATTCCATCTACAGGCACTTATTGAGTGACAGCTTTATGCAAACTATTCTACTTAACAGTATAGACAGTAAACTCTGAGAGGGCAGCACCAGGCTTGTTATGTTCTCTATCCCATACCGGCTGATGATAGGCACAAAATACATATTTGTAAAATGAAGATGTGAATAAATGAGTGGTAAGAGGGAAGGAAGCAGGAAAGGATGAAGGAGCACAGGGAATATAACAATATACAACACATTTTTTATCATCAGAGAGCTTACAGACTTATAGGAAGAACAAGCAGAGAAAGAGCCATTATTGAAATAAAATTTAGTGAGTTTCATAAGATAAGCAAAAAGTGTTGGGAGATTTCAGAGAATGAGATGGGGAAGATGTCGGAGAGAAGGAAGGAGAGAGACACAAAGGGAGAGAGAGAAGTCTTATTTGGTAGACAGGAATTGAGATAGTTACAAGGTAGAGACAGCATTTAATATACATGACGTATAAGTTTGATTTCAACAGGCAGAGATGGAGAAAGGGGCTATGCAAAGCCAAAAAAAAAAAAAAATGTTGAACAAAGATAGAGAGCCAGTAATGTAGACTTCCAGGGTGTTCCAGAAATACTCAAGAAATCTGAGACTCCGGGATGGCCGATGTATGGATTGTGTGAGATAAGAGCAGATATGGAAGTGACCTTGAGCGTCGGCTGAACATGGCCATCCCTGGTTTAGAGAATGCAAAGGTGCAGGGCCTAGAGGAGTCAAGAGGGGTTTGAGAGTAGGTAGGTGAACCATAACCACAGTCTGCACAAAATGTAACAAGGTGATTGCAGTGCAGTTGGAAAAGAAGACCAGATAAGAAAACATGGAGGGAGGGTAAGTGTGAGAACTTGATGCCAACTTATCTATAAGGGAGAAGAAGACCCATAATGACCCTGGTGTTTCCAGCCTGATGATGAGTAGCAGTGACATAAATAGGAACCTAAGGGGAGGCCTTGATTTTCACAGAGAGGAGTTATGCTGTGAAGACTTTGCTCTAGGATATTTCCTTAAATGGAACACCAGGATTCCAGTTCCCAGGGGTCCGTGTACTCACTCAAGATTTAGGGGTTAATCCCACAGTCACTCATTCAACAAACAGTTGGTGAGGCGTTGTCATGTGGTGCTTCTCTTGCATTGGCTTCCTCCATACTGAAAAAAGATGCCTGAGAGCGCCTCTCTATTCTAATCTTTTCCATGCCATTTCTGCCTCCTGCCCTCTGAAGAAACAGATTTGATTTCACAACCTGTTGGACCAAAAACACAGCATACTAATCATAACACCATATTCTGCGAGGGCAGATTTAACTACCCAGTACAACAAATTTCAATACAAAATATTCTGTCTAACAAGTCCAATGCCATGTTCATAGAAACAAGAGAAACGTGGAAACAAATCTACTTACAACAAATTAGGTACTGTACATATCTTCTACCACACACACACACACACACACACACACACACACAGAATGCTTTTCTGGTCACTGTCCACATAATGATAGAAAAGGGCACAAAGCCAAGGAAATTGGGAAAATGTTCAGGGACTCATAATCCAGTTTGGCAGGGGTCTATGGTGCATGCAGAATAAAGTAAGCATTTATTAATTTAGTGTCAATTGCATTGTCCTGGGGAGAGAAGACCTGAGATGACCCACATCAGAGCTGTTGTACCTCCTGTTCCTTACCCTGAATAACGATTAGTAACAATTCCTTTCTAAACCCCTTTACCCATCGTTTTCTTACACCCCAAAACCCAAGTGTACTTCTAAATTCGAAGAGGATCCCCTAAATCAAAAAAAAAAAAAAAAAAAAAAAAGAAATCCTGTGTACAGGGTAAGAAAAGCATAGAGGGTCTCTTTATTACAGCTTCCCCTTTCTCCACTAGAATCCAAGCTGTTCTTTTCACTTTTTGCTTGCTACTGTAACAGAAACCTCCATCACTATCCCTCTTACCTGTCCAGCCTGCAAATTCAGATTGTGATTTGAGATTATGTATTGATTCAAAATAAAACCTCATAACAGCAACACTGTCAAATGTTCTGTGATGAATAGAAGCTGGAAGGAACCTTTAAGGCCTTCTAATTTAAGCCCTTTATTTTGCAGATGAGGAAACTGAAGCCCAGAGAGGTGAAGTGAGGTGCCCAAGGCCACACAGCAAGTTAGAGGCCCAGCTAGTACCATAGCACAAGTCTCCTGACTCCCAGTCCAGTGCTCCTCCCATTACTCCACGGGTCCTGTCTCTAAGCTTCCTGACAAATGCTAGAACGGTAAACCTCCACTAGTATTTTTCCAGACCATGTTAAAACTCTTAAGGGGGGGAAAAAGGATGCTTTCTTGGATAATGTCAACCATACGTAGCTCAAGCTGTCTGAAGTTCTGGGACAGGGTCTTTTTATGCAGCCAACAGAGTCCAAATGTGGTGCTTTTTGCTTGGCCCATATGCTTTCATGTGTTCCCAGTTAGGCCAGTACCGGAGGGGGAAAAAAAACAAGAATCAGCTTGTTTTAAAACAAGGGACATACTGGACTCCCTCCCATCCCCCTTCAGGAAAAAAAAAAATCAAGTTATCTTTAACAGATTCTAAAAATGCCTTTTCCCAAATCTGCAGTCAGTTCCTTCAAAGGGCCCTTTGTTTATTTTCAGGAAGAAACCCAAGACAGCTGAAAACCAGAAGGCATCTGAGGAGAATGAGATTACTCAGCCGGGTGGATCCAGCGCCAAGCCGGGCCTTCCCTGCCTGAACTTTGAAGCTGTTTTGTCTCCAGACCCAGCCCTCATCCACTCAACACATTCACTGACAAACTCTCACGCTCACACCGGGTCATCTGATTGTGAGTACACCAAAAGGTGGTGGTGTCTTCGCAGGGCTTGGAGTTGCGCTCTCCCCTTGGGCTCCAGCTTCTTTGCATTCAGAGCAAGCTGTCTGCATTTGGTCTTCTAAAGTAGCCAAAAGTAATGTGCCACCATTTTGATCCAGCCAACGTCTCTCTCCCTCTCTCTAGATCTGCAGAGCCAGAGTCTTTTTGTAAAGCCAGGTGGCCAGCCATTTGCCCTCAAAAGGCTGATTAATTGCATGAGCCACATTCGCTTTCAGAGCATAAACCCCCCAAAAAAGAAGTTGCATTGCTGCTTTCTCATTATCCCTGGTCTGAATAACGGCCCTTCCACTGTTCCTGCACGGAACAACCAAATACAGACCACAGCAGGCCAGCTAGACACAAGGAAATGGCCATTCTGAAATTACATAACACAAGTCAGATTTGCATTAGTTATTGGAGTCTCATGTCGCTTGGCTGGATTTCTGTCTTTCCAGTTTTTAATTTATTTTGAAGTGGTTAAAGGATAGCATAAATTTACAGAAGAGAAGAGAATGGATTCCAAGAATTCAAAAGCCACCCAGACTTCACATAGCCAATAAGAATTCAGGTTAAAAATATTTTTTAATTAAAAAAACTGCCTAAGGGCTAAATTTGGAATTGGGCAACTTAATGAGATCGTCGCTATTGAAATCACTTCTTTACTGTTTATTTTTGCCATCTCCTCACTAATCTGGGAGTCACTTCTTCAAATTCTATTTTAAGAAAGTTGATAAATCACATTTAGGATATGTTTTTTTTTTCCTCTTTCTGAACCATAACCCAGGACTTCCCATGTGTTGACATGAGAAAGAATGAAATATTACTTTGCAGTCCAAGCAAAGAATATTCCCTTTAGTCTGAAGATGCCCAACAGCTCTCCTAAGTTGCTCTCCATAAAGCTTGTCTGGTAACAGGCAAAGAGTTGGCATATTCTCCTTTAGAATGAGTGAGATAAGAGCAAGAAAGTTTTATTTCATAAAAGGATTTCATTTAGCCTATCCACAAGATAAGACATATTAATTAGGAAATGAGATTCTAAATCTCCTACTGTTATCTTGTGGACAGAACAAATAGAAAATTCTGCAGAGAAGGCAAGAAGTGAATGGGTCTGGGGGAGTCCATTCTCTATTTGCTTCATCCTCACAGCCTCTGGATTAAAGGACACGACCTAGGGGTGGGGTGAGGGTGAAGAGAGCTTGTTCTACCTGGGGTTGGCCTGGGACCACACTCCAGCTGGCAGTAGAAAATGAAAAGAGAAGTAATGAGATCTGGATCACCATGCCCATGTGATCTGCATAGTCAAAGCTGTGGCTTTGGGGCTCAGAAGCAGGGACCATGTGTGCTCCGTGCAGCATCCTTGGATCTTCTTGCTTGGCAGTCTCCGGCCTAATAGTAATTACAGGAAGACTTGGAAAATAGTGTGGCACAGTGCCCACAGACATGTGCACGCTGTCCCCACCTACCAGGAAGGTGGCCTGTTCCTGTGGTGAAGGGCCTGCCGCTTCTGCATGCACACCTTCCTTGCCTGGCTTTAGGCCACACCTTATGGGGAAGATCACATAGAATGGCCTTAGCCCAGAAGGCTCCTATGACAGTAAAATGAATGCTTTGCAGAATACAAAAAGCCTTTAGCTTAATTTGTTGCATGTTTATAAGCATTTATATGCTTCCTCTGGCCAGGCCTTGACATTGGCATGGCCTATGTTTAAGGAGTGGTACAGATACAGTTTCTCCACCCAGCTCCTTGGTGACCTGGAGGAAGCCAATGGGTCGGAACTCAGTGGGTGGCTGAATGCAGTAGGGGGATACCAAGTTGGGAGGAGAAACCTCATCTCCAGCAGTTGAGAAAGTCATTTTGCCATTAAGATGTGCAAGCCTTCTCTGCTCCAACCTGTTGTGTAAATTCATTATACTTTTTCTCCAAATATATCTGGATTGTAGTTTGTCCTGATTTGAGCCTACACTTAGAAGAAAATTGTTTTTAGGAAAGATTCACAGAAATCTGTCCATTTGGAGATTGCTTGAGAGAAGACAGGAAAGAGGTTTATTTTAAGCTGTTAAATTTTTTGGATGCTCTTCTTGCATTCAAGAGGGTTTTTCTTTTGTTGGTTTTTTTTTTGTTTGTTTTGTTTTTTGTTTTTTGTATTTTTTTATTTTCAAATGTCATTCTTACCATAGATTAATTTAAAAGCCTAATTTCTTTAAGGTAAAATATTCAGTTCCTATTTAGAACTAACAGATTTGGGGCATTTAAAAATAGTGCCCTTGACTTGTTAGTCTGTTTAACTTCAGCAACATTCCACCAGTGTGTTGTGTTCCAAGCTTTCACAAGTGCCTGAATTTTTATAGCACTTTTTTATTTGTCGTGTGTTTAGCGAAATTATTCATAGTCATGCCTTAATGCCAGTTTCCTGTCAGTAAGTGTGATTCTTCCCAATTTACAGATGAGAAAACTGACATCTAGGTAGATGAATGGCTTGCTCATCATTAACTCATTGGGGTACTGAGGAATGTTTCTGGAGTTTCTGTCACTGTTAGCAGCCAGAATTCTCTGTTCCAAGCCCAAAGATGGCATTCCTGGCTCTAAACAGACATCTCAAAAATGTGCAACTCCTCATACTGGTGACTTGGTCATAAAACACGAGGAATAAATCACCCCCCAAAAAATCCACTCTGCATGTGAACTGGTAAGAGTGGGTATCTCACCTATGAAGGACACGGCCACATTTTAGGGCACAGATAGTAAGTCTGACCCTGTCAGTTCTCAGCAGGTGATTTACCATGCTGACTGGCTTCAAATTTGGCCAGCAATGGCCAGAATATTGAAAACTAGGGCTAGAGTCTGGGTATGCATTTCTTTGTGAGGTGATGGACTTCTTGTAAAAAGCTGTGGTGCTGTACAGTGCACCCACTAGCACAGCTCCTTTTAGCAATATTCCCCCATTACCGCCTAGCTTGTCACCTCTTTGCCACTGCTAGAAACCTAATGGCAAACAAATTCAGATGACGATAATGAAAGGCATTAAGGTGAGCCTCGGGTGGTTGCAAAGGGTCCAGTCGCCCTAAGTATTTGACAGAGCAGTTCCCCAGCGAACAGGCTGAGAAAGCACTGAGCCAAGCTCCCTTGAAAGGCTTACGCGGGACTAAACCAAGGCAGTAGAGCAGATGAAGCGCCCCATATTGAAAACTTTCCTTGACAACTATCAAGCTGTAGCACATCACAGTTGTATTCATGTGATAGACACAACCAGAGCTTTTACTTGCATATTTCTTCCATTTTGTTCCCCCCCCCAAGAAGGCTCCCAGCAGAGGGAGAAGGGACGGACTCCCCCAGCCCTTGGCGGTCCCGCCTCCTTCTGGCTGGAGATCTCCCGCCCCCTGGCCTCCCCTTTTGTTGGAAGCTGATAGCCAGCCCGGGTGATTTACCTTCTTCTCCCATTTTGCACCGGCCTCATCCGACTGTCTCGTTTTTTTGTGTCCTTGCCAAGATGCACTTACGCATTAACAGTTTTTATTTATTTTTAATTTAACCTTTACACATTACCAAACTGTCGTGTGGGTGGGTTTAACTTTAGCTCTGGAGGTAACGCGGCGCTGCCGGCCGACGGGTGGGCTCTGCCTCCTCCATCTCCTGCCATCCACCTTCACTGGCCTGCCCTCACCCCCACCCCACCCCTCCAACCGCTCGCTTCAGCCGTCCAAGTCGCTGTGATTAAAATTTTTTAGTACACTTGGCTCATTTTGAACTTTTAAGCAATTTTTCAGAGAACGAAACAAAGAGGATTTTTATGGCAAACTCCATTAATGCCACATTAAGGCTGACATTTTAATTACCCCAAAGTCAGGAAATGCAAAGTTCAGGTTCCCACAGCAACAGAAACTGTCCCCTTGAGTGCCGGCATCACAGCAGATTCTTTCATTGCCTGATTACACAACACCAGGCGTGGGGGCATTGTTTTTCTCCACGTATGTGGAAAGGAGCACAGCTTTTATCCTTTGTTTGTTTCCTGTAACTACAGTTGAGGATATGGGTCTTTAGCTCTCCTCCCCAAACCATCGACATGTATTATCCTAGAACGGAAGACTATTATAGCTCTACATGTGCACACGGACAGAATTAAAGTTGCTGTGGGAACATTAACTCTGATTTCCGGACTTCCGTGCCAGTCACATTTAAACCATCATGTTGTAATTTTTGGCATGTAATAAATGTGCATTTCATGTACACAGACAGAAAGAAGCATAAAATGTATTTTAAAGAGCAATTAATTACTAACTTTGTGATTAAAAAACATTTGGTGCATGTTCCTTCCCATTTAGCATCAGCTGCTGGTCTTAGCCAGGCCTAATAGATGACATACTGTGTCTCATCCTGTATCTCAGATGTACTTACTGTATGTTCCTGTTCTTCTAGATAATTAATTCCCTTAGTAAAGCTGTAGGGGGAAAACAAAATGGAAGGAATATGCAAGCATGTAAATAGGGTGAGGGATATTTGGAAGGAAATGATTCATTTCTGCAAATAAACCTCTTAGTCCCTGAAACAGAGCCAGAAATCTGCGAAGTGGGCGTAGACAAAGGTTCCTGGCCACCTTAGAGCATCTGGTCCTGGGGCCCTAAGAACAACCTGGAACAGGTTTCCCCATGAATCTCAGCCGTGCCCAGTGCAGGCGTGATTTTACTCCATAAAAACTTTTCGGGCTTAAGGCTTAAAAGTTGGGGGAGCCCATAACAACTGTTCAGTTTCTATGAAAACTAGGAAGGGAAAGTAGTAGGGGTTAGGTCAGAGGTGGGCTTTGCCAAAGAGCCTGTGACTGAGAGAGTAGTAGTTTTTCCTCCTTTCCGTTTGCCTCTGGTTGACCCGTTTGTGATGGAGAAGAAAGTATTTCCAAAAGGTTTAAATAAGTTTGGAAGTAGAAGGAATTAGTAGCAGTACTCTATGGTGCAGTGTTGAAAAATGCAAATGCATGAGT